AGGGTATAACAACTTTTTTTTTTAACCACATTGTTACATTTTTTACCACCTTGTGCACTGGTGTTCCCAGTCAAAAATGATCAGCCTTTAGAAAAAAATAGCTTATGCATTTCTTGTTATGCTATATTATCACCAAACATTGGATTCAGTTTGTATATGAACTTGTTTTGTTTCAATTAGTAGAGGTTCTGTATTTCTTTTTAGAACTGATTGATCGCAGGCCTCATGGAGTTGAGCTTATGCACCTCAGTTTTTGGGTGAATGCTGCCAAAATATCCACAAATAATGCTTTTTTTTTCACTGAAAAACTGAGGTGCATAAGCTTAAGCACAACACAAGGGTTAAAGAATACAGTAAAAATAGTTGTATTATTATTATTATTTTATAAATAATACTTGTATGCATTAAATTAATTAGAAATGGCAGTAACTACTTTTACATTGTTACAAAACATTTCTATTTCAGTGGTGTTTTTAACATTCTGTTTATTAAAGAAAAATGGGAAAACAAATATTATGGTTTGCACAAAAGTGTATTTAGATAGATATATGGCAATGGAAACCATTATGTGTTTCCATCATGAACAATTCAATCTTACCCACAATGCTCTGCCTTTGAGCACCTTTAGTCAACGGCTCTTTCCACCACAGTGTTTTAACAAGCGCTGCTGGGTATTGATTCTACCTGCTGCCATCAGACAATACAACACCTTCTCCTCTTCCCATCCCGCTGTTCCTCCAGGTGATTCCCCCAGTCAGGGTAACAACATTACACACAAACAGCTCTTTCTCACTCATGTGCTCAGTAGAAACACTAATGCACTCAGATATGCACATTATACTTCAACTTCAGCTTTTACTCTGTTGGTCTACACTGTATATGTGTGTTTTGTGCATTTGGCATTAGTAAAATATCTCTATTTGTCTGTTTGTTTTGCTTGCTGAGTTCAGTATTCTCTGTGCGTTCACTTAGTCACCTCCAGATCCACAGGAGATGGTGAGTGTTCTTTATTTGTGCCTCTGTGTGAGGGAGTTTTGTTGTGGGACTTTAGTCCTTGGTTTTTAAGTCAAGGACAAGTGTCAGAAAGTGAGGGGAAGAGGTGCAAGCTGGCAGCTGTGAGCAAAGCAAATAACAAACTCAGAGACCTGTTACAGCATCAATTTTAATCTTCTCTTGTGTCAACTTACTTGGACCACATTGACTTTCATTGTATGGACAACAAAAAACACTAAGACATTTTTTCAAAATATCTTCTTTTGTGTTTCACAGAGGAAAGAAAGTCATTCCAAAGACAGCTTTGGAATGATGTGATGCTGAGTAATTCATGACAGATTTGTCATGATTTATGTGAACTGTCCCTTTAAGACAAAAGTGCCAGTGGATGTGTTGTGACTTGCTCGGCTGTCATAAATCCACAATTGCTCTCTAGTGCTGAACTTTTTTTCTCAAACACAAGAAGAGTGTTCTCAAGGTCCTGGAACAGTGTGATGCAGTTGTATTCACATAACCCATGGCCATCTAGCTCCACACCTCTGGGCCTACAGCTGCTCTTTCTCAGGGTTTCCCTTCAAATATATGATTAATATAAATCCACGCTTTTTTCACATGTAAAGCAAACATCAACTGTTTGTTTATTTATTTATTATTATTATTATTTTTAAATGTATTATTTTTTAGGTTTTTACTTGGTATATCTGGAATAATTATGCCACATTAATAAGCTTTGCATCCATAGTTAATTATAATAGAGACAACATAATCTAAATGTCATTTTAATTTAGGGTTTATTCTAATATGACACATTAATCAGATGTTAACACACAAATGAAATACTTTTGAGATGATACGCTCCTTCACAGACATATTGACAACATATGTGCGGTATCTTTGAATAGCATCAACTGCCTTTCACCAAGTAATATATAACTCACCCAGAAATCCATCAGTATATTATGTGCGAATCTAATTGACTGGCACTGAGAGGCATTACTAGGTTTGATTGGCAAGCTGTGTAATACGACATATGTACACTGCGGTAGGAGTTCATCTGACAGGAGCTGGCAACAGCAAGGCCACGACAACACTCCCCATATGTAGGAGACAGAAGGGCCCACCGTCCTTCAGCTAATGTTTACCGCTCTGCTGTAAAAGACACCATCCAGGGATGAGTAATTGACCTCACACACAGACGCAACATAAAGGCAGTCAATACGCCGCTGAAAACGATGCCATATGAATTTGAAATTTGCTGAAAAAAGGGGAAATTTTATTGCCTAAATTTTGAAGTCACTCACAGAAAATTAGTTGTGTTCAAAATGAGTCTAAAATGCAAAATATTGAGCCTAATTAGGGATCGTAAAGATCCACTTCCAAAAGTGTAAACATAGAATATTTAAAAAAAAGTAATTACTGTATAGAGTATATTCAATTTGTGAAATAAAAATATTAAATTAGAAAACATAAAAAGTATAATGCAGTTTTGTGGGTTTTTTTGTAATGTCAAGTCATAATTTTGTTGTAAATTAATACTGTAGTGATTACTATTATTTTTTCATAGTGTGATTTTTGATGAGTTGTCAAATGAATATTGATTTGTCAAAATATCAGACTTTTCTTTGATAAAAGTTCTAACACGTTAAAAATATTTGCCAATGGGCAATAAAATGTAACCAATTGCTCATCATAATGAAATGTACGTACACTAATATTACAGTACACTAAATTTAGTTGGCCACAGGATTGGCTCTATAATGCATGAATTTGGGCATTTTTCCCTCAGCAACTATAATCTAATTTGAATGAATTCTGAATTCTTGAGTGTGCTATTTGTGCTTAGGCCCTGGTGATTGCTGGTTGTGGTTTATTTTATCTCTCTCAAGCTTAAAGACACCAAAATGAGACCTTTTATTTATGTTTTACATACAAATTATGACAGTTGGTAGAGACAAAAGGAAGAGGTGCTGTAAGTGATGCTTTGTATGGAATATCATGCATAAAATGTCCATACTACCTGACAGATGTGGCTGAAGTAGTCTTGAGAATCATACCTGTCTCGTTGAGCTCCCGTAGGCTTTGGAAATGGTGAGGAAAAAAGTCACGATGTTGTAGTTATAGCATCCACCAGCAGGGGTTCACTAGGCCTGTTCGCAGTCCGCCAACATATATCATGCCCTAAAACTATACTCTTTTTTTGGAAAAAAAAAATGGAGATAGTTTTTGAATGTATAACAGAATAGTAGGCAAGCTTTGGGACATACTAACATGTCATAAAATTGTGCTCTTTTACATCCACCATGTTTGTGGTTCTGAATTGAATCTTCCTCCAAAGCATGATGGGTTATGGGCAATATTAGCCATTTCACAGATCTTCGAAAATCTACTGGAAATAGTAAACCATCCAGGGACTTTCGGTGTACTGTTTTCTATGCTTTGGGACACACTTATTCTAATCTCACATACTATTTAGGAAGAATATTATGCACACTGGGATGCAGGGTTTGGTTTCCCGATGTGTTTGAAGGCACGGTCAGAAGGTTATTTTTTACATGTATGTTTTTGTTTTTTGATTAATGATATGTTGAATGAATGTTTTCATTTTCTAGTGTCTTTTCATTGGTCAAATCTACTGAGACACTTAGAACACTTGATCTACAGCATTAGTTACTGTACACGGCCTGCGGACTAGACATAGGTCAATATAGTCAATTCAGACAGGACTACTTTCGGCTGTGGGTATTTCTTCAGGGCATTTTATAGTAGGAAAAAGAAAGTGTAATTCTTCCCTGAAAAAAATCACTGACATGACCAATTCAGACAGGATTAAAATCACAGAGGAACTGTGGTAGTTATTACATTACCCCGCCTCCCCATGTAAAACTAATCCTGTCCAAATAGGGCTGTAGATATAATTGTTTCTACATTAGTTAATAGGCTTTCTTCCCTCCAAACAATCCTCAGTTGTGGCCAAACTACGTGACTGTTATAAATTGGGTGTATAGAGACAGTACCTTGAGTTTTGCGGAGGAAAATAAACTAGAACAAATTCGACTTGGACAATTTAGTCTTGCCAATGCTAAGCTATGGAGGCATCTCACTATTTGTTAAGATGGGGAATTTTATGTGGACAGCCTTATAGGTTTTATGCCTCTCTCCCACATGTGAAATTGTTGCCGAATTGCTCTCGCTGTTCGAGACTGGGATAATTTCGTTTGACAACACCTGTTCTAGTGCAATGTATTATTTTTCAGTGGGAATGATCTTCTCTCCTCTAATATAAGAGAATGGCCCAATACCATCTATACAAAACACTACCCACAAACCCTTCAGAGAGTCTGGCCTCTGTGTATAACTGGTTTCTGTTTCACCGTTTCACAAAAACAAACATGCTCTATACCAAATGCAGTGGTTTCATTTGACTATTAAAGGAATAGTTCACCCAGAAATTAAATTAGCTGAACATTTACTCACCCTCAGGCCATCCAAAATGTAAGAGTTTGTTTGTTCATCTGAACAGTTTTGGAGAAATTTATATCACTTGCTCACCAATGGATCCTCAGCAGTGAATGGGTGCCGTCAGAATGCGAGTCCAAACAGCTGATAAACCTTTGCTTCTGGCCAAAATATGTCCATTATCCATAAAAAAACGCTTCCTACAATGAAGCAGTCCATCCCTTGTTGTCCTGTCACATCAAAATCAATCAACATATTTGTGTAGAACTGTTTTGGACTGTTTTCAGTTGTAAATGACACTTGATCTGTGCGTATTTCTCTCCTGATTCAGATGAGACAGTTTTTTACTGGAGAAAGCAATAGTATGGATATGGACTTGCATTGTAGACCAACGCAATGGTTTGAAGTTAAAAACATCATAATGAATTTGTTTATTACAAACACACAGTTTTAAATTTCACATGGCATTAATTGATTGACTGGAGTTGTGTGGATTACTTGTGGATTGTTGTGATGTTTCTATGTCCCTCTTAACACACTGTTATACTGACATGAGGGTAAAATAAATAAATAACGGCAGAATGTTCATTTTTGCTTGATCTGTCTCTTTAAAAGTTCACTATGTCTTATATGACTTCTCTAAAAGGAACCCTATAGCATTCAATGCTTCATTTATTGTTTATTTATACATTGATTTAAAAAATAAATAAAAGACTGATGCCTGATCTGGATGGAGATGTATGCGCATCCAACAAATGTAAACCTTTTAAAGTCATGCTTCAGCATCATTCCAACTAATTATGTACCAGTGTGGTTTTGTCTTTAAATATATGGGCATGCATATAATTCAGTGTACTGAACTAGAATTTAAGAAAATACTGGATTCAATAAGGTGCTCAGAACAGCACTGTAGTGAAGTGTCTAATAAGCCTAATCAGAATGCAGCGAGGATCAAGCCAGAGCCTTTGTAAATGAGGGAAGCTTAATCAGAATAAGGGTCTCAACATGTAAACAGCTTATACTCATTACTCACAGAAACATGCATCAGCAGTATTAAAGTCATTTTTCAGCTTTAATGGTTGTGTTGTACTGTATTATGGGTGCAAAATTAACAAGCAGAAATGTAATCATTATATCTAATGATTTAATTTCCTTGCAAAATTGTTTAAATTGTGTTATCTTACTGAATTACAAGCCTTACATTAAAATTTGTTCAAATTTATATATGCTTTATATTAGAAAGTACACAAAGTACAACTGTAGAGTTTTGTGAGGTTAGGCATTTTATTTCATTCTACTATTTCTTTTGATACTATGCATACAAATATAATAATGCCTCTCTACTACATGAGAGATATTACTGGAAAAAAGAGGCAAAAACAGCAAATAAGAGACAGGAAAGTGGCTCACACTTCTTAGTCAATCAGAAATGCTTTCTATCTGTCATCATTTTATGCATTCAGGAAAGCTGATATCCGATTGGCTAACTTTGTCTTTAAAGGGTGGTGTTATGGAAATCAGGCATGTGATTGAAGTCAGCAAAATTGCTGACATCTCTTATAGCACTTGAAGTGGCATGAGCATCTTAAAGCACATTTTTTAAACAGCACCACTGGTTTTCAGTCAGATTAATTTTTCCGCTGGGTCACCGGACATATGACTTTATCTTCTTGAACTCTTCATTTTAAATGAAAGTGTTTGAGATCATTGTCCAAGCAAGATGTTTTTTTTTAAGGTTTCCAGCAGACTGAGGCAGGTTCTCTTGCAGTGTTTTCCTATGTATTGCACCATCCACTGTTCCTTTTCTTCCTTTTAACAACATGCATACTATGTTGATGAGAAAAACACACAGCATGATGCTATTGCCAGCATACTTCACTGAAGGAATGGAGTTCTTTTGCACCACACATATCACTATGATTTTTTTTTTCTTAAGCTATCTTGCTTCCATGCATACCCACAAAAGCTGGAAATGGGTCATTATTAAAGCCTGTTCCAAAAAAAGTAATTGAGACTGTTTAGGTTTTTTGGGGATAAAAAAAAAAAAAAGTGAATGGATTTTACTCATTGTAGGCTGGTTCTGTCCAAACACTGCTAAGACACATTCATATGCAAACACCATGTAAAAGTGACATTTTCATCCGATGTCCCCTTTAATAATGGACTACTTAATCACTTTTATTTAATCAACAGTCAAATAAAAAAAATAATAATAATTGCACACATCCTCAAATTTCAGTGCATCTCTAATGCAAAGACACCCATAAGTTTTTAAGTGTGGCTCAAATGTCCAGGGCCATTATGTGCCATTTTGTCTGACTCCAGATGTCTTTTCTGCCTGCCTTCTTATTATACAGATCTGTTCCTGTAGTTGAGCAGTGCACTGGGGCTTTGCTCTCAGTTACTGAACTGTATGTATATGTCAGGGCAGCTTTTCAAATACTACAAGAGAGCTCAGTGTTTCAGGCTGCTCCCCATATTGCTGAACCAATTGACTATAGCGTTAAAGGTGTTGTCTGGTGGACTAAAGCCTGTTTTACATGAAGACTTGCATTTTTCTTTGAGCTGAAGAAGGATTTCATCATTCCTTTTCTTTCCCAGAGTACTCTTCTGTTTGAATGGTTCTTTTCCCTTTTATCTTTTGGCTGTTTCTCTCTTCTTTTTTTTTTTCTTCACATGAAGAATTTTATTAACGCTGGTTTCAGGCCTGCATGTTAGTGGACTAAAGAGTTTGATAAGCAGAGCCGAAGGAACAGATTCAACGTTTTTTTTATTTTTTTTTATTAAGAGTGCAAAACATACAACATACGGTGAACACAAAACACAAAAACAGCAGTAGAACAGCAATGAAAATAAACAGCAATGACAATCTGAATAATAGTAGTATTTAAGTAGTACTAGCATGCATAATAATAATAATAATAATAATAATAATAATAATAATAATAATAATAATAATAATAATAATAATAATAATAATAATAATAATAATAATAATAATAATAATAATAATAATAATAATAATAATAATAATAATAATAATAATAATAATAATAATAATAATAATAATAATAATAATAATAATAATAATAATAATAATGATGTAATAACAATAGTAATAATAATAATGTAATAATGACACATACCCAACACATACCACATCCTAGCTTCTGTGTCAGTGCTCATGTTTTTTTTTTTTTTTTAACAGATTCAAAGTTTAACGATATGGTCATTTATGGCTGCCCTTTGAAGTATATTACATCAAAATAGGCTTGCATTTGAAGAATTCACAAAACAAACAAAACAATGGTTTAATCATTTTCATCCTAAAATGATGTGTGACTGTTTGTAAACTAATGACTTTTTGTACTTTTTGTGTTAATACATTCAAATGTTAACCTTTTGAATCAAAATGTGCTCTACCATATGATTGATGTGCTTTCAGAGGGTTAATATATATTTTTGCCACACTTGTTGTTGTAACTTCTGAGAGAATCGATGAACGCTTCCCCCAAAATGATCAGCGCTCCTTCAAAAGGCTTTGAGTTGATATAGGTATGAATTCTTTCTTGGAGCATAAATAGATTGTACGTTTATGAGTCTACTTTTTTTTGGCTCTAGGCATGAATTTCCTCTCTCCTTCCCGTCTCTAATATTCCTAAGTAACATTTTCATCCGATGTCCCCTTTAATAATGGACTACTTAATCACTTTTATTTAATCAACAGTCAAATAAAAAAAATAATAATAATTGCACACATCCTCAAATTTCAGTGCATCTCTAATGCAAAGACACCCATAAGTTTTTAAGTGTGGCTCAAATGTCCAGGGCCATTATGTGCCATTTTGTCTGACTCCAGATGTCTTTTCTGCCTGCCTTCTTATTATACAGATCTGTTCCTGTAGTTGAGCAGTGCACTGGGGCTTTGCTCTCAGTTACTGAACTGTATGTATATGTCAGGGCAGCTTTTCAAATACTACAAGAGAGCTCAGTGTTTCAGGCTGCTCCCCATATTGCTGAACCAATTGACTATAGCGTTAAAGGTGTTGTCTGGTGGACTAAAGCCTGTTTTACATGAAGACTTGCATTTTTCTTTGAGCTGAAGAAGGATTTCATCATTCCTTTTCTTTCCCAGAGTACTCTTCTGTTTGAATGGTTCTTTTCCCTTTTATCTTTTGGCTGTTTCTCTCTTCTTTTTTTTTTTCTTCACATGAAGAATTTTATTAACGCTGGTTTCAGGCCTGCATGTTAGTGGAATAAAGAGTTTGATAAGCAGAGCCGAAGGAACAGATTCAACGTTTTTTTTATTTTTTTTTATTAAGAGTGCAAAACATACAACATACGGTGAACACAAAACACAAAAACAGCAGTAGAACAGCAATGAAAATAAACAGCAATGACAATCTGAATAATAGTAGTAGTATTTAAGTAGTACTAGCATGCATAATAATAATAATAATAATAATAATAATAATAATACTAAAGATGGTGATGATAACAATAATACCTTGTGATGACGGCAACAGTAATATCATTAATAATAAAAGTAATAATAATAATAATAATAATAATAATGATGATGTAATAACAATAGTAATAATAATAATGTAATAATGACACATACCCAACACATACCACATCCTAGCTTCTGTGTCAGTGCTCATGTTTTTTTTTTTTTTTTAACAGATTCAAAGTTTAACGATATGGTCATTTATGGCTGCCCTTTGAAGTATATTACATCAAAATAGGCTTGCATTTGAAGAATTCACAAAACAATATAATGGCTGGTTTAATCATTTTCATCCTAAAATGATGTGTGACTGTTTGTAAACTAATGACTTTTTGTGCTTTAACATTTAATACATTCAAATGTTAACCTTTTGAATCAAAATGTGCTCTACCATATGATTGATGTGCTTTCAGAGGGTTAATATATATTTTTGCCACACTTGTTGTTGTAACTTCTGAGAGAATCGATGAACGCTTCCCCCAAAATGATCAGCGCTCCTTCAAAAGGCTTTGAGTTGATATAGGTATGAATTCTTTCTTGGAGCATAAATAGATTGTACGTTTATGAGTCTACTTTTTTTTGGCTCTAGGCATGAATTTCCTCTCTCCTTCCCGTCTCTAATTTTCCTGGAGGAATTTGACTGACCTAGTTAGCACAGTTTCATGCACCTTAATAATCTTATAAAGGATATTTACAGCACTATAGCTAGAATCAGCATGATATGATTAAGTAATGATGAGATGAATTATTTGGGTGTCAAGGAGGAAGCCTGATGCATCATTTAATGGTGTTTAATGCTGAGATAAAGAGAAGATGTGAGAATTTGTGCATTTTAGGTTGTTTTAGGCTGATTTATTGAGCAGTTTATATAATGGGTAATATAATAATGGTTCTAATCAGATTTCATGTGGACTTTTGTGCTAAGAGTTGATTTGATGAAATTGACAAATCAAATGTTGATTTGAAAAATAAAATTATTCCAAAATTTGTTTTTGCTGGCAAGGAATACGTCCAACACAACTATATGTGGGTATATGGAATGTTTTTGAGAAGTTGACATGATTGTGGGTATGCTGTACTTCATCTAAAATTACTTTAAACAGCATTTTGCTTTTTTTTTTTGTTTTGTTTTTAAATCATGAGTGCAGCTCTTGTGAACTACAATCATATTAATTGCTTAATTTGTCACAACATAGGGCTTAATAACAAATGCAATTAAGGCAAAAAGTAAAAAAAAAAAAAAAATGGTACAATGGGTGAAATTTTGACCAATGATCTGATATGCTATGTAATCTTATATATTAACCTAAGATATATTTTTTAAAAATTGTGCATCAGCTACCCATGCATTCATAATTCGCAGATGTTTTCAACCTTTTTAGGTTGGGAATCCTCATTCTCAGTGCATTATTTAACTTGATACGTTTACGTAGTAAATTCTGCATTCTGCAGCCAGATAAATAATGCATTTAAGTTTTACTAAATTGCATTGCACAATCTGAAATGATATGTAATAAATATGCTTTCAGAAGGTTAACAGGGTTTACAGTTTTGCAATTTAATTTAACAAGCCTTTTGCTCAAGGTTGTGAAAGTACAACATCTTAGAAAGAGAAATCAAAGCAATCAAAGATATTTTCTATGAACATTTTAGCTGCTAGTTATTTATTGATGCAAAATCATGGTAACAGGACTGACATTTTAGCCCCCTGCTAACAAATGACAACTAAACAAGATAAACTAAAATGAATGAATAAATAAATTGACTTCAACTTTTTTTTGTACAGGTGATTCTCATGCTGACCAAACTGTATGACTTCAATCTGGGCAGTGTCACAGAGAGCTCCTTATGGAGGTAAGAATACAGATAATTATTCAAGGCTTCAATCTTTATGTGTACATGCGGTAGGGAAATGTATTACAAGCATGTTATGTAATATACCTTTGTGACTGTTTGTTCTCAACTCGTTAAAGCTTTTAAGCAAGTAGATAGTCTATGGAGTTGCATTTGTTTAAGCAGTGTGACAGTACAAACACGTGCAGTGTTGTGAGTTTTAAATCAACTGTGTATTATTAGTCTGATGAAGCTACATTAGCTGATTAATGGCATGTCTATCACTGATTGTCCTTATAACCTCTCCAGATATCCAGCACACAGCTCACTGATCTAAGTGGACATAACATATGTGTATTAGAGCTGCTTGAATGGAGCTGGTGTTGAAAATCTTAAAGGGGTAGTTAACCCAAAAATGAATAATTCCAAATCTGTATGCCTTTCTTTCTTCACACACACACACACACACACACACACACACACACACACACACACACACACACACAAAGTTATTCTGAAGAATTTGTTTTGGATTTGGGTCTCATTGGCTTCAATAGTATGGATTAAAAATACTATGGAAGACAATGGGACCCAAAACTGTATACTTGCAAGAATTCTTAAAAATATCTTGTTTTGTCAAAATTCTATCATCATTTACTCATCCTCATGTCATTCCAAACCTGCATGCACTTCTTACTTCTGTAAAACACAAAAGAAGATATTATGAGGAATGTTGGTTTCAGTTTTGGGTCCCAATGACTTCCATAAAATGGATTAAAAATACAATAAAAGTCAGTGGGATGTTCAAAATATTCAAAATATTATTGGCTTCCATAGTAAGGACAAAAAAATCAGTGGAAGTCATTGGGACCCAAAACTGTTACCAACATTCTTCATAATATCTTCTTTTGTGAACATTCTGGTATCATTATCTCACCCTTCATGTTGTTCCAAACCCCAGATTAATTTACGATGATGAGTACATTTTTTAACTTTCATTTTTGGATGAGCTATTTCTTAACTTCTTAAGCTCTACTACCATCAAACAAATGGTGAAACTGGCCTCAGATCACCAGATCTGGCAGCTTCTGCCAGCAGCAGATTGGAGTGGAGATGCTCAGCAGACTGTGTGGCCCTTTAGCTTGGAAAGATGGAGCTTCCATTGGAAATGCAATGGCCAAACACACTGTAATATAACAGGACAGGAAAAGATCCAGCTGAGCTCATAACAAAAATCTCTCGCAAAAAAACAAACAACCAAACAAAAAAAACCATCTGATATGTTCAACAATCTCGTACTCTCAGACAATGCTGTTCTGTTGACCCAGCATTTCAGTAATGAAGTTAGTGACCCTGCATAAAATATGCTGGTAACCACAGAGTGATTTATCACATGGCAGCATGGAGTGTAATTGCCTACCCAATCATTTTAGTTGAACGGGAAATGATAATTAGATTTCTAGATGATGTCTGTCCTTTGTGTGAGTCTGTGTGTGTGTGAGTGCTCTGCAGTGATGTCTGTCCTGTGTTTGTGTGTGTCTGCTCTGTAGTTAATCATGTAAGAGTTCATCTATATATCTCATAATGAAAAAAATGGGTTGTTTTTCCATGTAGACTAAGATTGAAACACATCTATGTCAAAACAGTACTGTTACATTTGTCTAAATATACAGTAAACTGTTTTCAAGTTTGGGTTGGTAAGATGTTTTAATAAATGAACATTTTTATTCTGCAAGGGTACATTAAATTGCTGAAATAAAATTACAAATAAAATAAAATAATCAATAAATCAACAAATAAAACTGTTCTTTTGAAGTTTCTACTCATCAAAGAATTCTAAAAAACGATCAGTTTCCACCAAAATAACAGCACAGCTGTTTTCATTATTAATAATAAGAAGAAACGTTTCTTGTTGAAAAATCAGCTTTGCCATCACAGAAATAAATTGCCTTTTAAATTTTATAAAAAAAAAATAAAAGTTATTATATTCATATTTTACCATATTACAGTTATTGCTGTATTTTTATCAAATAAATGCAGCCTTGGTGAGCATAAAATGCTTCTTTCAAAAAAATAAAAACTTTTTTTTAAACAGTATATATTCCGGGTAACATAATCAGGTCTGTGAATTGCATCATCTTTAAATATTCGGAGGAATTGGATGTGCTTTCTGCCTTATACGAGTTATTATGTAAGTCTACAGTATCTGTGCATAAGTACTGTACAGTGCAGTATACTGTAAGTGTAAAAGTATCTCATGGAAGTTATCAGGTCTAATGGATGGTAGTATAATAACCAAGGCCATATTAGAGGCCAGGTGCATCCTGGTGTTCCTTCAAGATATTTGCATATTTCAAGACAATTATTTCCCCCTCACCCGGGTAGATAAATTCAGGAGTGCTTTAATGAATGTAGACAAATGCCTTCCATGGCAGATAATTAAACTTTCATGGGAAGTTATAAAGCAGCAAGACACTTCCTATATATTGTAGATACTGTAAGCATTTTTTGGAGTAGCATAGCATATGGTGTATAGTGAAACACTGTAAGTGTATGATCAGCAAAGAAAGTGCTATTTCTGGAGAGTCTTTGTGTAATCATTAAATATCATTATGAAAATGTACCAGCCTCTAGTACCCTTACATATTTACAAGCCATTTACAGAAACTGTTTTAACATATTCTTGTCAGGACAGCTAGATTGTCCTTGCTCTTTTAATATAAAAGTTGGTTATAATCTTTCACCTCAATACAAACAATGTCATGCTTTATGACCAGGCCCCATCGATAAGGAAATAAATACTATGTTTGGGGTGAGTAACATCAACAGGTATTCAGTATTTAACAACTTGATTCACCCAAATGAATGACAACTATACTTTGGTATTTTCCACAAGCAATAGATAAGGCAATCATAGCAGATAATTCTTAAAGTTATAGCAGCAATTAAAGCTTTTGAAATAATGTTTTGGTGCAAGAAATATTGACTAATATTGGAAGTGAACTAAATAGTAGAACAAATCGTCTTCAAAGCAGGATATTTGAAGTGGCATCATGCTTTTAGTGTATTAATTAAAGATCTCAGAGCAATACGAGCAAAACTCTAAATGGTCCATAGTCAAACTTCGATAGGGGGAAAAAACACTTTTGTGCTGTAATACAGCTTCAGGCTAGAATTTTGAAGGAGAAGCGGGCAAAAAAAATGGAGAAGCTTGTTATAAAAAAAAAGTTCCAAGTGTTTTTAAAGATGTAAGAATAGCACTGCAGTTCTCTTGCATTATCAAACTGCAAGTCAAATGAGGTTTGTACAGCTTTAACATCCAAAAACATCATTTTTATTTTTAAGGTTGTACATTTGATTACACACTTTTCAATTGCTAGTAGATATTTTGATTCTCTGATGTACGTGTCTTTGCGTCATTTGTGTGTGAGTTGGCAAGACATTGCTCTTCTAAAATAGATTTGAAATGACAGTTCTCCCCCGTAAAAAAACATGTTTAAAAAATGTCAGGTCTCAACCGAACACAAGTTTCACATTAGCACACAGATGAACGTATGAATATTTTATAAAACTCACCACATCTTCACCGCAGCCTATTTTCAAATGCTGTCAATATTCAACATTTCATTTAACGGGACATGTAAACAACAGGTTGTTGGATATCTTTCCGTTCTCTCTCTTTCTTTATCACACCGTGCGTATAAGTGCAGATACCGCTAGGCTAAAACTACTGAATGAAAAGTGCTTTTAATTTCAATAACAGCTTTCAATGGGAACTTTCTGATCTGTAATGAGGCGACTGGCTGTTTCTGGGCTTCTGAAGGTCGTCACATTATTCTGGCACAAAAAGTGCCTCAGTTCTTGTAACTGACAGTCTTAAAACACTTATAATGGCATAATCATGGTAACTGCTTTGATTTAATTCAAATCCCTCAGAACAGTCACAAAAACTTAATGCACTTGGAATTCATCATTTTAGTTTAAATATTGCTATTTATTGTCCTTAAGTGGTCTCAGGGTCATGGCCTGAGCTCAATTTCTGGTCAGGACATTTGGTACAGTAGGTGTTTTTTGGTGTGGCTTCATCGCAGTACAAGCGACTTCTGTTGAGTCCTTGAGCAAGACACTTAACTCCAGAGGGGCTGACTGTGTCAATGATCCCCACTGCGTTGCGATCTATAGAGCAAAGCATCAACTACATTGTTACTGCCATTGGTGCATCTCCTGTAGTTCTGTGAATCGCCAAGCTTTTGAAGTGCAGCCAGGCATTACCAGACACATACTGTGTTTGCAATGACAAGTTCTGCTTTGCATCAAGGTTTAAAATGGGTTTGGATCATTAATGAGGACTGGTTAGTCCTAATTTTTAATAGTTGAAAATTTGCAGCTTCACTGAAAAAAAAAAAGGTTTTGGAATTGCTTCGAAACAGGTTTTACTCAGAAATTGCTAGTACATTTCACAAATAATTGCAATAAAATGGCAAATAACACATTGAATTAGACATGAAATTTGGAAGTAGAATGAACGTAATAGTATTTTCTTATACAATTTGTTCCAATAATCTGTTTTATTTACAACTTCGAAGAATATTTTTTATAATGTACTGTATGTAATTATGTGTAATAACAGTGTATGTTTGGATATATGCTAAAACGTAAAATATGGACATATTGACAGAATCTAAAATGTGAAAAGTATACATTTTAAATGCACAGTTGTAGAACCATAAAAAAAAACGTTACAAATCCTTCATATTATACTTATATTATAAATGTTTTGTTTTTTTGTCATTTTAAGTCATTTTTCAACTTGCAGCTGTGCCAGAACAAACAAACTACACATGATAAAGTCATTAAGTAACGATTAAATGATGTTCAGTCATTTGAAAGTTTAGCTAAAAGGTTTTTTTTTTTATGTACAATCAAATCAAGCTATTCAATATATGAATCAGAAATGATTGAGGTAGCATTTTACAGTAAAGTTCCATTAGTAAACATTAGTTAACATTAACTTACAATGAAAAATTCTTCATAATGTTAATTTTAACATTTACTAATGCATGTTTAAAAATTGTATCTGTTAATATTATTTAATGGACATGAGTTAACATCAACTGAAAAACTGTATATTTTTAGCTAACATTAACAATGATTATACTCTAACAAAATGTATTGCTCGTTGTCAGTGTAAATGCATTAACTTAACTAACAACGGGACCTTATTGGAAAGTGTTAGCAGATTAATAGAAGTTTCTTGCTAAGTGCGTAGCAAACTTGTCACTGTGTGTTGCATTGAAGCGGTGCACTGAAGCTTGCGAAAGGGCCTTTGTGTGCTGGAGGTTGCTTGGATAAAAGAGCTAAATGATTGTTTCTGTTCTGTTCACAATGCTGAGAACTTTAATTTCATCTCAGTGAACCTTCCCGAGTCTAGAAAATGACATATATTTAGATAATAACCAAGAAATGCTACATATAGTACCAGAGCAACAAAGCTGTATCCTCTGAAATGACTGCATTTGTTTATGTAGATGTCAGGGAAATGTCTGTTGTTCCTCTAACAGTCAACAGGGGCCATCCTCTCTCGAATTCCCTGTTTATCAGAAGCTTGTTACCATAGTTACCACACACCTGTGTTGCATTTAGAGCTCATTAGTCAACCGTTAAATGCTCCCTTTGTTTCAACGGTCATTTGTGAAGTCTTATTTGTAGGATTAATGCGATCCTGACCAGCTGTCTTTGTGTATCCTGTTTTATGCTCCTGTTATTGAATGTTGTTGTGTTGATCTAGTCGGTCTCTTGGATTTTATTCTCATGTTGTTGCACCGATGTATCGGCCTGTTATTGATCTGATGACAAAAAATGTAAAAAATAAAAATCTATGTTACTATTGGCCTGTTGTTTTTAGTTGGAATTAGTATTGTATCGTCGACACTGCTGAGCTTCTACTATACAGCCCTCCTTTAAAACTGAAAGTTGAAAATGAAAAGTCAGTTAGCAAAGTCTCATTAACGTTAAAACTTCACGTTGACTGATGACAGATTCTCAAGATAAAACTCTCTGTGTATCTTTCCTCGGCTTTGACTGATGGTCTCTTTTCTTTAACTTCCCCATACTGTAAGTTTAATTAAAAGCTGAAATTTTGTGTGAATACTAATAAGCATGAGGATGATGGGCTGGCAGGGTGTCTACTTACAGAAATGATTTTTAACTAAATCGAAATATTTTCTGATTTAAAAAGTATTAAATTTTCTATCAACAAGATTTGATGAGATATGAGTTATAGTAGTCACTATATTACTACGGTGCACTTCAGAATTAATATCTGTCATATCTGTAAATAAATAAATAAATAATTTAAAAAAAGACTGTACCAAAAAAAGCACTGATTAAACGCTGATTACATTTTTTTAAATTAATTAGTGTGTTTAATTAAAATACACTTTAACACATTGTTGAAATACATTTTAAATATGCCAAATTGCAACTTTATTATTTAAAAATATAATTACAGATACAATTAATTATATTATAGTGTAACTGTAACGGTCATTAAAATATATTTTAGTTCATATACATTTTAGTTCACATACAAGTTAAAGAGATAGTTCCCCGAAAGATGAAAATTGCCCCATGATTTACTCACCCTCAAGACATACTAGGTGTATATGACTTTCTTCTTCCAGACAAATACAATCAAAGTTATATAAAAAAAAATATCCTGGCTCTTCCAAGCTTTATAATGGCAGTGAATGGGGATCGACATTTTGAAGCAAAATAAAGTGCATCCATCCATCATAAAAAGTGCTCCACACGGCTCCGGGGGCTTAATAAAGGCCTTCTGAAGTGAATCAATGTGTTTGTGTAAGAAAAATATCCATATTTAAAACTTTATAAACTGTAATCTCTAGCTTCCGCTAACTGTCTTACGCGTGTTCACAAGAGAGTGACTTCAGAAGGCCTTTATTAACCCCCCGGAGCCATGTGGAGCACTTTTTATGATGGATGGACACACTTTTTGGGGCTTCAAAATCTTGACCCCCATTCACTGCCATTATAAAGCTTAGAAGAGCCAGGACATATTTTAATATAACTCCAATTGTATTCATCTGAAAGAATAAAGTCATATACACCTAGGGTGAGTAAATCATGGGGTAATTTTCAATTTTTGGGTGAACTTTCCTTTTAACCATATTTCAAATACAACAGATGCAATTATGAAAGTACATGTAAAGATGTATTTAAGTCCCACTTAGGTGGTTAAAAAAATCACTCTTAATATTTAAACTATAATACATTTGAAATAAATTACAAATAATATGCTATTAGGTTTGTGAAAACATATTTAATTCACACTTAAGTGTATTCTTTTAAAGTATATTATTTGTATAAAAAGTACATTTTATAAAAGTATGTTAAAGTGCACTTCTGCACTGAAAATGCCATGTCATAAAATAGTGATGATCATAAGATCAGGTTGATTCTTCCAACTCTTTTTGAAGGCACTGTAAAGGGTCATGGCCATTGCATAACTACAACAAATTGCAAAATTTCTTAAACCTGTAATTACCTTCCTCAAATCAAATTAGGTACTTAAAAAATGTTTTGCTTCTATGAATAAGCTACAATCAGGGCCGGATTTACGCATAGGCATTCTAGGCACGTGCCTATGCTTGCTCGTCCCGGGGGGGCCCAAACACAATGAAGAGATATATATAATATTTTTGTTATACTATGGGATATCTACAACAGTAAAAGAACCAAAACCCCAGAAGAAATTGAGCAAATAAATATGACAAACAATAGGGTAAAAATGACAAACTATTTCCATGTCTTCAACCTTTTTTATGTACTGATCACGTTTTCATTCTCCCGTTCTCTCTCACAGATGCACACACAGTACAGACACGCACGGAGACGCAGGTAGAAACTAGTCAGAGCTGCGGCTGCCCCGCGAACTTATCAATAAAAGTTTCGCAGCTGAAAAGCTACATGACATTTCTCAGTAGCGAGGTTCTTGAAGCAGTTCAACTTAAAGATTCGCTATTAATAGACGCTGCTGCTGAATACTGCTGAGAGATGCACAGACGCAAGTATTCACACACACTTAATTTCTCTCTCTCTCTTTCGCTCTCTCTCTCTAATAACTGCATTAGACTGCATTAATAACTGCGTTAGCCTGCATATCAATGGCTCCAGCCTCTGTTATTAGCTCTAAAATGACGTTTTGGAATTTGCAACGGAAGGTTTGGGATGAGGTGCGTAAAAAATTTGCTAGTTCAACACGCACGAGATTTCAGGACGGAAACATGTCAAATGTCTTGAAACAAATCATCCGAACAGTTGATGTGTGATTTCTAGGCCATTACAATTATTAGAGAAGTGATGCACTCCCGAAGTGGTTATTTGGCCATGCCTATTAATGGAATGGTCTTTCTCAGTTCTCAAACAAATTTAGATTTTTATTGACTGAATGCAAGCGCTTATTGCGATAGAAAACACTGTAACGGTTTCCACTGATTAAGACATATTTTTGTTTGCTTGGGTGGTAATATTAGGCCTATTATATTAATAGGGAAGGGGGGCCCAAAAATTTGTTTTGCCTATGTCACGAAAAGAGGTAAATCCGGCCCTGGCTACAGTTCCATACTCACTACAGCCTTGTTTAAAGTGCACAGCGGGTCTTTAATTACAACAGCTGATTGCCAAAGTTCTCATTTAAGCCTCTGTTTACATTTCAGGTCAACAGATTACGGAACCACTTACGAGAAACTCAATGAAAAAGTGGGCGTAAAGATCATCCTCAGCTATCTATATGTCAGCCCCAACAACAAGCGCAAGGTAAGATTTATGGCATCCGTTTCTTCCGTCTGCTACACCTACACCTATTGTTAGTCTTCATGATGTCTCTTTTACGAAGGTGTCAAAACATTTTTCATGGTGATTATGCTTATGTGCGTGCGGAGCTCGAACTCCCTGCTCATTTATGACCGCTAACCGCGTTGCAAGGATTTCTCAGGTCTTCTTCTCGGCTCAGTGCGCTGTTGGCTAATTTATCCTCTGGTAGTATTTACGAACCTTTCCCGCTTTTTATGAGATCAATGCATTTTAAAGATTCACTGACTACAGCATGCAATTTTCACTTTGAGATATAGTAGCATTCAAAGCAAAACACACTCATGTCATTAATATTGATAAGGCTGTATTTTTTTATGTTTTATTTTTTTTTACTTTGAGGGCTAATGAATTATGAACTGGATGAAAAGAGATTCATAAATTGCTAGTGTTTTACTCAAAGGCATGACAAGAAGGCTTGTATTTATGGCTTGAGGCTTGGAAGTTTGCTTTGACAGTGCAAGCTATCTTTCTCTGTCCTCCTTTTTTAAATCTCTTTTCCTCCTCCTTTACTCTTTTCTGTTATCAAGGAGAGTCATTTATTGCTTAATGGTGGCTTTTAGTCAACTAATTATGGCCCGTAATGAAGATGGAACGCACCTCCAGTAGTTAACACTAAGACGTGCTAAGCTACATGCTAGTTCTGTAAACTGAAGTGTGTGAATTTTAGTGAAACTTATGGATTTATAATTGCCTCTGGTCATATACTTGGTAGTGCAATCAGAGTTATATATTTTTTTTCTGGCTCATTTGACTATAGAAGTCTAAATAATCTAGATTTCCAAGAACAGATATCTGAACACGAAATGAAAAAAAAGTTGTAAGATATCAGATTATATTTGACAAGAAAATACTATTTCAGTATCTCTTCTTCAAAATGTCATGTTTTATTAATGTTACAAGTTACAGTTTCTGAGTTAACATTGTTTCTACAGCATTTTTTTTTTCAGTGTAGGTTCAAAATTCTTTCTTTCTTTTTTTCACCATACATGTTGTTTAGGAAGAAAATGCAATATAAATCATGCAAATTATAAACCATTATTTAAAAAACCTTCAGGATAAGACTGTAAAGTTTGGTGTGTGCACGTGCTACTTAAGTGCAGAAGGAAAAGAAAAAAAAAAAAAAAAACATTTTTGAGAAATCAGACTTTAAAGATATGCAGTATAATTGAAATTTACAGATGCAAATAGATAAAATGCGTGTATATTTTGGACAAGTTACTGAGGCAAAAAATAAATAAATAAATAAATAAATAAAAATCTCAAAATGGATCATTCCTGAAAAAAAGGGGGGGGGTGTTCTCATTTATTCTGTAGTGTCTTGTCTTAAAACATGCCAGCTAAAATGTACTGTAGTCAATTTAGTTGTGTCGTTACTTTTGGTTAATTACTCCCCACCACTGCTGCTCAGTCTTGTTCACTTCATTATTCAGTTAAGATGCAGGAACTGTGGCAATCATAATGTAATAATCTGGGATGTTTTTCTAACATATCAATTTTGTTTTGCCTACAGTTGTGGCCGCTTATTTAGGGATTCATATTTCCCAGCAGTTCTGAACCGGCAGATTTAATTACATTGTGTCTAGACGGCATCTTTACCACCAACACATGCACAAATGTCATCAGCATCTGCTCAACACTATACTGTATTGTTCATCCACTCTGAATGCCAAAGGATAATCATTTTCTTCTGCAAAGTAGCAAACTTGTACATGCACCAGAGGGGGAGAGACGAACCCACAGGAGATGTTTCTTCCTCTTGTTGCGTCTAAGTGCTTAATTTTCCAGCCAGTAATGAAGACGGAACCCAAGCTCACATAAATAGCTCCTCTCACTTCCAATGGCATTATAAAACCAGGTCTGGGTCGTAATTAAAGGCTCTACTATAAACATAATAACAGCTTTGGGTCTAATAGAATAGTCAATATCCATTTTTCTGCTTTTACATTAACATGTAATGTGGGACGACTATTTATAAAAAACAAGCAGTGATTATGTTTGATTGTGAATGGTGAATTGAAGCAGGGCTGGTCAATGCAGCACATCACAAAGAGCCATAATGAATATAGTGAGGAGTGGATAGTAGAACTTTATTAACCCATTAATGCTAGTTAATAGTGTTCTCGATGACGCAGTGGAACATATTCAACCCAAAGGTCACGGGTTCGAGTCTCGGTACTGGCAGGGATTGTAGGTGGGGGGAGTGAATGAGTGCTCTCTTGAGCAAACTGAAACCCTTGAGCAAGGCATCGAACCCTCAACTGCTCCTCGGGCGCCAGAGCAAAAACGTGTGCTATGTGTGTGTGCGTGTGTGTGTGTGTTCACTACTCACTACTGTGTGTGTGCACTTGGATGGGTTAAACAAATTCCGAGTATGGGACACCATGCTTGGCCACACTTCACTTTTGCTTTCACTTTCACTTTCACTTTCACTTTCACTTTCAGAACAGTAGAAAGTTTGGCTAAATGAATATGGCTCCAATATGACAAAAGTGACAAATATGACAAAAGTAGTAACTTCCTACAGTTCTGCTGGATACTGATAATTATTTTCATGTTATAGTAATAAACTAAACATATTAAAATTCTTTCTCTCGCTCTCTCTGTCTGAAGTGCTTTTCTAATAATGTATTTTAAGGCAAAAATAAATATAACAATTATTTAGACAAAATATTTTAGTTAATTATAAGTATAATTAAATAAACTAAAATAAATACAACTAAAAACTAATATAAATTTAAGCAACAGTATAATGTACAGTATTAAAAATATTTGCTGCAGATATATATATACTACAATTATTGTATATGTAATTGTAAAAATTTAAATTATTAATACACAACCGTTGAAAAGTTGGGTTTATTCAGCAAGGATGGATGAAATTAATCAAAAGTCCCGTTAAAACATTTAAAATTTTACAAAAATTATCTATTTCAAATAAATGCTGTTTTTTTTTGGAAATATTCACTTAAAATCTTGTATCACTTTTCCTCAAAAATATTAAGCAGCACAACTGTTTTCAACATTGATAATAAGAAATGCTTCTTCAGCACCAAATCAGCATATTAGAATGATTTCTGAAGGATCCTGTGTAATATGTAGAAAACAGTTATTTAAAATTGTAATATAATTTCACAATATTGCTATATTTGTGATCAAGTAAATGCAGTCTTTGTGAGCATAAGAGACTTCTCTTATATTTACTTTTGCCTTATTTATCTGTTTGTCGGGATATTATAAACATATCTTCAAATGTTGTTTTAACATATTTGAGCAAAAATGCAGAATAAATATGTTCTGGCGTGGTAAAAAATATCCAATGGATGTGATCCATGCCTTTTAAATCTTCAAAGTGTGATACAGTATCCAAAATACAGAAGTTACAGCTTTAATTCATTCAATTTTAGTTTTTGTGTGTCTCATTTGTGTTCTCTCTCACTGACAGTCTCTAACCCGTAGCTGACCGCTTCCTCTTCTGGGGTTTTGGCACTGTCACCGTTTCATTTTCCTCTCCAATGTCTACAATCTGCTGTGGTTGCACTTTCTGCTGCGCGCATTTACCTTTTTCCTGTGGCACTCACTGTTCAAAACTACCGCACAGTGGTTTGGCTCCTACCTCACTAGTCTAATTATCCACCATCCTTTAATGATTTTAGAGAAATATTTTAGCCCAATATGACAGTTGGTTTTACAGGGTGAATTCATTTTCTCCATCTCATTACACTCTGACTTCATATAATCTTTGCTATAGGACTGTATGACTTGCAAACCATAATTTTGCAGGAACAGATTTTGGCATATTTTGGTATTTGTTGATGCCTCAAATTCAATTTGTCACACCCTGTAATGCACTCCTAAAAGCCACTCAAATTTTCCACACTGAGAAATGTATTTGTGAAATGTATAATAAAATTAAATAATTCTCCCGTAGAGCACCGGCTATTCCAGGACAGAATATAATAGCAATTTCATCTAGAGTAAATTTCATATTCACTATCAGAATCAGAATCAGAATCAGAATCAGAATTAGCTTTATTCGCCAGGTGTGCAAACACACGAGGAATTTGTTGTGGTTTTTTAAGGTGCTCCTGGTACATACATACATGCATACATACATACATACACATCTGACATGAGAACAGAAAAAAACAAAACAAAAAAACATTTGTTAAATGTTAAATAAGTCCTGGTTGGAACACACATGTCATTTTTGGCATTGCTAAACACTACAAAGCATTTTTGGCATTGCTCATTTTTCTCATTTAAATGTCTGCTTGCTTTTTCCCTCCCACTGCCTTGAACAAATTATCCACATGACATTTCACCACCGAAACCACAAGCTCCACATCCGATTATTTATTCTCCAATAATATTCAGTCTCTTTTTGTTACAATATTATATTTAGCCCAGATTTAGACCATGGCTCATCACTTGGATGCGAGTTCGACTCAAATCACTCATGGCTTAGAAAAACATTATTCTTGATTGATTTGACAGTGTCTTAAGATGATAACTCAAGACGAGTCATAAACTTCGCTGGATTAAATGTTTGTAAAAAGCCATCCTATTAATCTGTGTCCTTACTGAAGACAACTTCCATCCATACTTTGTGCTAAATGTACACACATCATGCTAGTAAACTGTATACTCACAGTAAGTTTGATATCATAAAATAATGACGTGTCAACACAAAAGGATACATTTTGAAGATGTACCAGTCATTTTTTTCCCAATGCAATCTTAATGAATGAGCCTTATAAAGAATCCAGGCACCAAAAAAAAAAAAAAAAAAAAAATTGTGGACTTGATTCGAAAAAGCTAAATGGTCGTAAAAAGAATAGTCCGCCAGTGGAAATTAATGGTAAATACAAATAATGTTTTGTGCGTACAATCTACAAATCATTCAAGATGCAGAAAAAAAGTGAGTGACGTGAGTGACGTGACAT